AGTAGAATGGCATATCCTGGAAAAGGATATGACTGGTTGACTGGAAACCTGAACAGAAGGACTACATACTGCAGTGTTTTGTTGCAGGCCCCAATTGTATATAATAACGGTCAGTTTGATGCGCAGAGCAATCTGGCCAGGGAGCAAAAAGACTAAGGTAGAAAGTGTGAGTGTGGTGGTTAAATCCATATATGTAGTGCTTACTTTCTGGGGGGACGCAGGGGTACACATATACCAAAACATTTTATGAATCTAAGTTTGGCCTCATTGAGAGGCAGTATTTCACTATGAGTAGGAAAATGAGAGTACCCCTAAACTTTTTTTTCTTAAAGAAAACACTGTATATATGAATATGCTTGGGGTGATTAGGAACAAGCTGGGACCTGAATTTCCAAATAAAACAAACTAAACAACCTTGGTATTATGAAAGTATTTTATGTAGCTAATACAGACAATTATAAACAAACAAAATATGAAATCACCCGACTCAGTTAAATGAAATGAAATATGACCAGATGTGTTTTGACCCCATGGTCTTCCTAAGTGGTCTATTTCCCTCTTCCCCCAAATAGATAGATATAATGTCAAAAGCAACTACACCAAATGCACTACTAATAATACTTAATCTGGCCATAAAGTGCAGTGTATGCATATTTTTCATCCAAAACTGGCACTGAGAATCCACAAGCTGCCCTTCCAGTTGGAACATGTGTCTAAAATGAGCCCAACTACTGAATAATCAAAAGGTGTTACAGTGGTACCTTGGGTTACATACGCTTCAGGTTACAGACTCCGCTAACCCAGATATAGTACCTCGGGTTAAGAACTTTGCTTCAGGATGAGAACAGAAATTGTGCTCCGGCGGCGCAGCGGCAGCAGGAGGCCCCATTAGCTAAAGTGGTGCTTCAGGTTAAGAACAGTTTCAGGTTAAGAACGGACCTCCGGAACGAATTAAGTACTTAACCCGAGGTACCACTGTATTCCCATTGTGACTCAATGGGACCCCGCTCTGGAAGGTGAACCAGTGGATCATTGACCAGCCCAGCGCTCATCTACCACACCATGCCCCATTGGGGGCCCCCTCTGCCAGTGGTAGGATTCCTGGCACGGAGCTTTCTCTGGCTGCAGCAGAGACTTCAGCAGTGGCAGAGGCCCCCTCCAATGGGCAGAGGCCAGAGTCTGTCCACTGATTCTGAACCCACTCCAGCAGGATGGATTGGGGTTAGGTTTGTGACGTAATACAGGAAAGTAGTCGCTGCTGGCTGGGGTAAATCACAACAGTCTTTAGTCTCTCTTTAAGAATGATTCTGTATTTTGAAGTGCAGTTTCTGTGGGAAATAATATGGAGGAAAATTAATACTTTTAAAATAATGTTGCCATTGCTAAAGAAGGTCAAGTCTTTTCCAAGCATGAGACAGGGGTTTCAAAGCTTGTGCTTTGTCTGTTTGCAGTTCTAGACATGGAAATGACTAAAACCGATTCAATAATTGGATAATATGATAACAAAATAATATTCACTTTCAGCTACATTCTGGATTTGGGGCTTTTGTTCTTCAACACTAAATGAATCTATGTTGTTCATTTTAAAATGGTTTGGAGCATTGTTTTAGCCATTCAGTTGAAAATGGAAGAGACTTTCCTTTCACATTTATTTCCTCTCTGTCTGCCAAGGAGCTGAGGATGTCATATATGTTTTGCCCCATTTAATCCTCACAACAACCAAGAGAGACATTTGCAGGGATTGCACCTAGGTTTCCCAAGGCCTAGTTTGATCCTCTAACCACCATGCCACATGGGATCCACTAAGTATTCTCTCACCCAGCACACTCAGATCAATATTTTAAGTCTTGCTCCATACCATACCCCCCCAACAATGAATATGAGGCAGGGCCTTTTCAGTGGTGGCTCACTTCTAGCCTAGGGAGGCCTGTTTGGCTTACATCACTGTCTAGTTTTTACTCTCTGTTGAAAACAAGTGTGTTTAGAAGGACCCAACCCTATAGTTGGAATGCACTCCCTAGGCTGTGTTTTTGCATGTGGTTTTCAGTTTTAATTGTATTTCCTAATGTGCATGCATACACATACAAATAATTATTGTTAGCAGCCTAATATTATTTTTTTAAAGAAAGGTGGGATATAGATATTATAATTAATCAATATGATTTGGATTATTAGGCAACAGAAAAAATATATTTGTACATCTTACTCTGGTGTAGTCCAACTAACATACAGTTTTTGATCGCCACAGGGTTCAGCAGATGGTGTGCTGGACCAAAGCATGTCTACTCATAAGTAAGTGCCACAGAGCTCAGTAAGAATCATTCCCTAGTGCCTGTTTAAGATGACAGCCTTAAGGCACCTGAAACCCTCCCCTGGATTGCAACTACTGTTGAGTGCAATGTTATCATGTTGCATTTTAATGTGACTACCTATGAGATGGGCTAAATACCCAGCTTCCTCAGTTATTTTCCTCATGGCAATTCTCAGCAGCTCTGCATGGAAATACCCACTATTCTCTTGGAAAAAATGTTGAGCCTCACATTGTTTTCTTGTTAAAAATAGAAAGTTCTGGCCTGTTTTTGGATGCTGCCCATCAGCCCTTATTTGAATCATTCTTATTTTGAAGTCTTTTAAGTAACCAATACGAGTGGAAAAGGTGAATGGCATATTTTGTGTTTTGCCTCCTAAAGAGCTGTGCAGCACTGGGTACTTCTTCAGTCAGTTCCTAGTAAATAAAGCGAACAATGCACCTGTTCTTCTTAACTACTTTTAATTAGCGGTCCAACCAGTGAACAGTCAAACACCAGCCAACTTCATGCACTGTGTTTGTTACGATACCTATAGTCGTTCTTGAGAGATTAGGGAGCACTTTAATTCCCTCTTTGCTCTGATTTAGATTGTCGGTTCCCTTGCATAATGGATGGATCTCACTCTTGCTGTCTCCCTTTTTAAAAGTGTTACAAGGCAGTAAATTACCTTGGGCTTGTCACTCTATGACTGTGTCCACACTATTCATTTAACACACACCTCCCCTTGCAAAGAACCATGAGAACTATAGTTTGTTACGGGTGCTGGGAATTGTAGCACTGCGATAGGTGAACTTAACCTACCTCACAAAAGTGTTCTGTGGCCAGAAATGGGGTGTGTGTGTGTGTGTGTGTGTGTACACACACACACAGTATATGGTATGCCTATCGATGTAACAATAATAGCAAGTTCGTGTAACTCAGTAGACGATACTGTGTCCGTCACCTACATTCTATCCAGGGCTGGGATTGTTTTAAATTCAACTTGTAAATAAGTTTAGTCGGAAACAAATTAATGAGATTTACTCTCCAGTGAGTGAGTCAAGGACTGTGCTTCTACCGCATCCCGCCCCCCAAAACACCCCTCGGATATTTGAATTGAGGGTAACGGGAGGCGTATCAGGGTTAATTTTAACACCAGCCTCTTTTCTTCCCCTTGACTTTTCCACGTGGTAAACGTCAGGCAAGGAGAGTTAGGAAGCTTCCGTTCCCTTGCTGTGGTCATCATCATGCACAGGTTCTATACCATGCAATATGTAACAATTTAGGCCAGCATGATACAGAGCTTCAGCTCGCGCCGAAAAAGGAAACCGGACACACAGGGCAGGCGTATTACACACACACACACGCACCACGCGACCAGGTCAAAAGTTGACTGCCTGCCTCTCCAGCTTCCCCCTCGGATCGCTCTCGCTCGGTCCTGGCAGTCCCTGATTTTCCGCCCAAGGTAACAAGCAGCGTGGCTAGGAGCCGGAGGGGGAATTAGGCGGGGAATCGCCGTGTCCGTTCCTGCTGGCGAAAGGTCCGGGCCGGATTTTGCACCTTGTCCCCGGGTCTGCCTCACGGCCTGGAGGAGCTGGAGCGGCGGCTGCTGCTGCTGCTCTGTTTATTGAGCGCTCTTGTCCTGGTATCACTCCGCTGGCATGGAGGAGGAGGAGGAGGTGGAGGAGGACAGCACTTGATCATTGTGATGGTGGCAGGAGGAGAAGCAGCAAGCAGAGCAGAGCAGAGCAGTCTGCGTGTGTAGCAGCTCGGCGTACGTTCTGCAAATACTTCAGCGAGCTACTTTTGCAGATCGCCCCGGATTGTTCACGTGTTGACTTCCCCCCAGCTGGAGGATTTGCTTTTGCTGTGGTTTTTTTTTTTTCCTTTTCCCTTTTAGGTTCCTGTTGAAAAATACAACTGAGCAGCCAAAGTACTTTTGAGAACACGGTGCGGCATAAACACCCAAACTTTTTTTTTCTTTCCCCCTACTCCCCGGGAGAGAGAAAACACAATTAGGAAAGCGGCGCTGCCTGCCGCCCGGTGGCGCGGGGTGCGATGTTGGGGTGCCTGTGTGCGCGTTGTCTGCCCGGTGTGTATGTCCGTAGGTGTCTTGTGCGAGTGTGTGTTGTGTGTGTGTAGAAGTGTGGAGCGTGGAGAGAGATTCCTGCCTGTTTTGCACGCATGTGGGTGCGTTTCTCTCTCTTCCTCCGTTTTCATACATGGGGGAGACCAAGGAGGTTTTCGGTCTGGGATTTGTTTTGGAAATGATGGATTATTTCAAAGGTGGACTGATCTGATCTTCCTTCCCTGGAGTTTGCCACCGAACAAGCTACCGATCAGTTTGTTGGGATTCCTCCTGTGTTTGTTGATTGTGTCTGGCGATAACCTCGCAGCACCGCCTCCTGGGTCTCGGCTTTTAACATTTTCTTTAGGCAATTTCTTTCTTTTTTGTGGGGGGCGGGGGGAAGCTTTCTTCCTGCCGGAGAGGATCGACAAGGAAGGGAGAGAAGCTTTTTAAAAAAATTGAGGGTATTTTGTTTTAAACCAAACAACCCCAAAACATTTCGCTGGGGATCTGCTGCCTCCCTCCCCCATGGTCCGTTAAAGAGTATCTTCCCCCGGAGGACCCCCGTGTTTGTGCCTGGCGTGTGGCGCCCGCTTCTCAAAGGGGGGAAAAGTTCTTCCAAAATAGTGTGCGCGGAGAAGAGGATGGGGGATTTTGCAACCCCCGCCGCTGCCGCGAACGGCGGCAGCCTTTGCCTCAACAATAACCTGAGCAGCAGCCTCGGCGGGGCCGGGATCGGCGTGAACAACGCTCCCCACGGCCCTCCTCCCGGTAACAGCGCTACTCATAGCGGCGGCGGCGGCGGCACTAACGGGAGCAGCGGCGTTCCCAAGCACAGCACCGTGGTGGAGAGGCTGAGGCAGCGCATCGAGGGCTGCAGGAGGCACCACGTCAACTGCGAGAACAGGTACCAGCAAGCCCAGGCCGAGCAGCTGGAGCTGGAGCGAAGGGACACGGTGAGCCTCTACCAGAGGACCCTGGAGCAAAGGGCCAAGAAATCGGGGGCCGGAGGCGGCAGCAAGCAGCAGCAGCAGCACCCGAGCAGCAAGCAGCAACAAGATGCCGAGTGTGCCACGGCCGAGCAGAGGAACCACACGCTGATCATGGTAAGGGGGCGGGCGAGAGGGGGCTGGAGGGCGGCTGCGGAGCACTTGTGGGCTGGCGCTTTCTCATTTGGAGTTCTCCCTTCTCGCCGGAGCGGATGTAGGAGGTTGGGGAGGAGGGTGGGGGAAGAGAGAGAAAGAGCGAGAGAAAGCGAGGGATGCTTGGCTGAAGCCAGGGAATGGGCGGAGAGAGGAAACTTTGGTCCTATAACTAATATGGGAACCCAGGAAGCAAAATGGACTATTTGAAGAGGAGTTGTCGAAGCCTCTGCATTGGTGGGGGTGGCTAAGCCGCGCGCACACGCTCCCTCGCTCTCTGTCTCTCTCTCTCTCGCTTGCCACTTGGATCGATCACTCAGGTAATGATTCTTCACCTGCCGGCGTCACACACTCTCACCCCCCCACTTCCCCCAGTCGCTCACAGGTATCATTGCATCGATCACGGCGCAAAACAATGAAACAAATGAATTGTGCATTTGGCTGTTTCACGTGCCATTGGAAGAGCGGCGTAAAAACGTACACAAGAGAACCGACGCGCTTGGAGGGTCCCCCTTGTTGTGTAGGCAGTTGTCGAGTAGCGCCGGGAAGACCAGGGGGAAAGCACGTGCGTGTGCCTGCGCGTGTATATCTCTCCGGCCAGCGTGGGTGCGTGTCTGCAAGGATGCTCGCTGCCTCTTTAAATCCAGCGGAGGGGGAGCTTTGTGGGCTGGCTTTGCGGAGCGGGAGTGACAGCCCTCGGGAGGAAAAGTTGGGCAGGTTCCTCCTCGGCTGGCGGCGGCGCGTGAGTGTGCGCGGCGTGCAGCGGACCAATCAAGTCTCTCCAAACTCGCCCCAGCCACTCAGCGGCCGCCTGGGCTGCATTTCTTTCTTGCCTTTTTTTCTTCCTTTCCTTTTCGTAATTCTAAAGTTTCCTTGGCCTTTTAAGAGGCTTAGAAGAGAACAGCAAAGGGGCGGGAGCTAACCTGCCGGTGGCGTAAGAACTACTAGTAGGAAGTGGCGTTTCACACTCACCCAGATGGTTAAAAGAAATTAAACAAGAACTCGCCGATCTTGTCTTAAAACAGATCTTGTCTTAAAACAAAATAGTCAGTACGTGTCCCTATTAAAAGCGCCCCTCCCCTTGAAAATCGTCCGGGAAGGATCGTCTGCTGTGAGCTGCTCTGATCAAATCGATTAGGAAATCCCTTTCCCACACCCATTCTACCTTCCCGACTACCCTCCGACAGCTTTAGTGAAGGGAGCGGAGAAGCGGTCAGGGGTTTTTTTGTTTTAACAGATCTCGTCAGTCCCTGCTTCCAGCGTGCCTGGTTTCCAGTAGGTGTAGCTGAGTAAAGCTAATCGAGTTTATGGAGAGCTGTGAAATATTCTGCCTTTGGTGGCGCAGTGATTGTGTCGATGGGAGCTGCTTGCCGAAATCCAGGCAGATGGTCTCAGGGGCAGCTGGAGGGCAGGGCGAGGGCATTCCTATTTTATTATTATTTTACTTGGGCTGCTGTCGCTCTTTCGGATTTGTTTGCTTATTCCGTTGCAGCTGCTCTTCTAAACCAGGGTTGCGGCTCTAAGGCTTTTCTACTGCGCCCTAGTCAATCAATTCCTAAAATACGGTGTTCTTTTTAAATATGTATACAGTATGCATATTAAAAGGAAGCTCCCTCTTAATCCCCAGCCTCAAACAGGAACGATTTTACGCAGGTGTGTTCAAAAATAAGTCCAACTGCACTCAGTGGGACTTACTCCCAGGTAAACGCGTTTCGGATTGAAGCACACGGACTGAGTTGTGACTCCCCCCTTTAAAAAAAGTGATTGCCTACTTTCGAGTAAACATGAACAAGGTCGCGCGGCGAATGTTTGCCCAAGTGAGACGTGGAGCTTAGATTTAGGCAACCGCTCGCAAGGTTGAGTTTTTAATAAAGGTCTGCTGCTCGAGCTGAGCTGGAGAGAAGCGGCTGCAAGGTCCCTTTGCCTTCCTGCTGCCCTTATGGCCGCCCTAAGCTAGGAGCGAGCCGGAACCTCCCCGCCGCCCAGCTTTTCGGCAAGCCACCCCACCAGCTGGCGTCTGCCTGACAAAGCCGCCCTCCCCTCCCCTCCCCCGGCTGGAAGTTGGGTGGGGGGCCTGGAGGGCGCGGACTGACGGCGGGGTCAGCCGCAGTAGCAGCCCAGGAGGAGCTGGGGCGAGTGGTGCGGCGCAGGAGGCGGAGGCTGGCGGGGCGGAGGGAGAGAAAGGAACGGGCGCGGACTTTGCGGGAGACAGCCGCCGCCGCCGCCGCCGCCGGCTCCTCCCCTGTCGAGAGAAGGGCCATTTATTGATGTGGGACTCTTCTTCCCCACCCCCGGCGTCCGTGTGTGTGTGTGCGCGCGCGCGCCTCCTCAGTTCACCGGGGCCGCCTCGGCCCCTCCCACCGGCGCGCGAAAGGCCGGCTCAGCCGCGACCCGCAGGCGGAGTCCGCTACACCTTCTCCTCCCCCCCCCCCGCCTGCCGCGGCGCTTTGTCTGCTCTATCGAGCGCTCAGCCGTGGGGGGCGGGGAAGAGCTTAAACGCAGCCCAAAGTGCGCCCTCCTGAAAGCGGACGCTGCTGCGCGGCGTGCCGCCTTCCTCCTCAGGCGTGGAGAAACCACCACTCCCCCCCTCCCTCCAAGGGTGGAGGGGGGTTGGAGAAGGAAGCTGCTGCTGCTGCCGCCGCCGCCTCCCTGCTTTTCCAGGGAAAAGGCAGGCGGAGAGGGAACGCCCCTTGTTGGAGACAGCGGGGCATTTCTCCAGTGCAGCCGGGAGGAGGGGGGGGGTTGAGATAGGCAGATAAAGCGCTCAGCCTCGCCACACAGGAATAACCGCCCCCCTCACGCTGCCGCCGCTGCCTTCCTCTCGCCCGACCTGGAGCGCGAGCCGGTCTGCGGACGCGCGCACACACACTGGCAGGGAGAAAGCCGAGAGACAGACGAGTCAGAGCAAAGCACAAAGGGAGGCACCTGACTCAGAAACAGGAAGCCGACGAGGCGCTGTTCGGCTGCCCGTCTGCTTGGCCCTTCCCGGCCCTCTAATAGGATTTGGGTTCAGTCCTCAAGCTGTTTCACGCTCTTTGCTCCCTAATGGAGCTTGCGCTTGCGACACAGTGGCGCACTCGGGAGGACTTGGGCCGGGAGTTCATGCAAGCAAACAAACAAAAGCCTTCTTCGCGTTCCAACCCCCCCCCCTTTGAGCTGCGGTACTGACTCACTAGTGAAACAATAGTTTCCTTCTCTGTCTCTAGCTTGCAGATGGGATTTGGGAAAGGCTTGTAGTTGGAGAATCTCTTTGCCATGGGTAGAAGAGGGTGGTTTGTTTTTTGATGTGCTGGACAGGTCTAGATTTCCCCCCTGGAATGGCTCCTTTCCCACCAGTGATAACAATAAAGTGGATGTTGTAACATCTGTTTTGATAAGAAAACACTGATTTCCCTCAATATGACTTTATTAACACCCCAATAATTCGATCATATTCTTCACTTGACAGTTAATAAACCTTGCTTTGCTTTTGGGGTCCAAAATACCTTTTTAAAAAAAGTTTTGGATTTGTTGCAGTTACAGGTAAGTAGCAAAATCCAGGAAATAATAGCTTATAGCACATCCTTTTTAAATAATAATGTCTTATTTAAATCTGCAGCCCTATACATACACACTTGGAAGTAGTATCTATTGGACTCATTGGGTCTTGTGTTTGAATATACATGGATAGGATTGCAGTGAGTATCTTTGAAACTCTCTTGGTTAAAATTACTTGTAGTATGAAATCCAGAGCTAGGGATATTTGCATTCAACTTCCAGTATCATTGGAGCATACCAGATCAGTGTGTGCTTTGCTGTTTAAAAAATTAGAATGCAGTGTTATTTACAGCCATTTTAAATAAGGGAGAGAGTTTCATCAACAATGTGCTTATAGAGAAAGGGTTTCACCAGCAATATAGTTATGATTTGTAGAAAGATTAAGAGGGAATTGTGGTTTTTCAACAGCATGTAAGGGAGCTCCCTAAAGAAGAGAAGGAAGTTGCCAGGATAGGTGTGAAGCTTTTTGCGGTGTCTTTGAATCCAGTTTGTGAGACTTCATAATGAGAACTGTGTCCTCCTTCCAATCCGTGAAACATGATCTGTGATGAATACAGACCTCCCCAATTGTTGTACTGACTGACAAGTGCTGGGGGAAATGTGAGGTGCTGGTGGTGCTCTGTCTTCAGAGAACACTGCAGCCCCACGTGTCTGATTCCTCTCTTTTCCTAACTCTCAATAGAGAGAACAATAAGTTGCCTTTACTGAGCTGTATTTTGTTTGTTTGTTTAATCTGTGGAGGCCTAAACTGTCCTTCTACACTTCGTGTTTCTCAATGTATGCTGTACTCCATAATGTGTGCTTTACTGAACAGCTGATCATCTTTTTATAAATACAGTGGTACCTCGGGTTAAGTACTTAATTTGTTCCGGAGGTCCGTTCTTAACCTGAAACTGTTCTTAACCTGAAGCACCACTTTAGCTAATAGGGACTCCTGCTGCCGCTGTGCAGCTGCTGCGCCATTTCTGTTCTCATCCTGAAGCAAAGTTCTTAACCCGAGGTACTATTTCTGGGTTAGCGGAGTCTGTAACCTGAAGCGTATGTAACCTGAAGCGTATGTAACCCTAGGTACCACTGTAGATGTTTTCCTCAAAGGCATGCACCTCAAACTTAAAAGTTGATGATCTCTCATAGAAAGTCAGTACAGCCTCATTTCCACACCCAGGGACCTGCATGCTCCATGCATGCTCAGTGCATCTTGGCAAGCCTAATCTTCTAAATTAAGGATGGGAATCTGTGCCATTCCAGATGTCAATCCTTGGTCTAACTAGATGTACCTAAGGCTTCCAACAGCCCAAAGGAGTCTAAGCATATGGTGATGGATTTGCTTTTCCTGGGGGCAGCTGCATTTATTGTTATTTAATATTTATTCATTAAATTTGTCAGGGCAACCCAAAGTGACGTGCAACTGTGAGTCATTCCATACTTTCCTTCAATTTACAAGATCTCCACCAGGAATGGTAATTTGGAGAGGGGGGTGGGAAACTTACTTAAGCTTCCAGAGGGAAGCTGATTTCTCACCTTTCCGTTTAGTTTGAGCTCACACCCACCTTTAGCAGCATGAAGAACACATTTTTCAACGTATATGTTCCACTGACAGTCAAACAGTTTAATTTCGGAATAAACATCATCAGATGTTTGTCATTTTCTGTTGTCATATTTACTGTGCATTGCATCCCTTTGACACATCTTGTTTGTAAGGTGGAGACAGAAATAATGCATAGGATTGAACTGGAAGTCACTTGACAGCAGAAACTGCATATCTACTTGGAAGTAAATTCTCATGTGTTCAAAGGGGCTAGCTGTCAAGTCCTTGTGTGTGAGCTTTTGTCTGAATTGAAGCGAGGCCAATGGTCCATCTTATTAAAGACCCCTCCCAAAAATAACCACAGGTAAAAATTCAAAATACCATTATAGAATAGCCTTCCTCAGAGAAATTTATAACCATTTAATCCCAGTTTTGTGAGGTTTGGGTATGAGCACTTGATAGGGGATGTATAGTTGATTTTGCTAAATCTTTGATTTGTTTATTAATAATAACATCACCAAACATTTTCTTCATTTGGCTATAACAGCAAATAATGAAGTTAGGAAACACAATAAGAATTGTACAATAAAAACATGCATTTCTTTATTAAGTATTATCCATTTTCCAGCCTAGTCATTGTGAAAGCCAGTTTTAATTTCTCTGTTACATAACTAAAAGTGTTTTAATACTGTGCTAGTTAGTTTTGTTTAAAAGTTATTGATGGAAAACTTGCAATTCCTCCAAAATGTTCCTTTGCTCATCATCAGTCTAGTTCCAAGAAACATCTACTCATTCCCATTCTTAGCTAATCTGCTTTCTCACTTCCTACTGTGTTGAGTGTATAATTTTTAACTTGCTGAATGCATCTTAGATATTTGGCAAATGTGCTTCAGTATTAGAAACCATCTTAAAAATTATTTAATGTTGTTAAGCCATGCCCATGTGATGGCCTATTACAGTTCTGCTCTTCTGTACTGGTTTGTAACTTGTCAAATTCTAAAAGACTTTTCCTGTAACTGTATCCTTGACATCTTATACTGACAGCCTCATCATATGCCTGCTTACTCAGAAGTAACTCCCGCTGAGAGTAAAGGGGGATGTGGTTATCCGTGAGTTCTGCCTCACATCTGGTGTATATATGTAGAAACATGTGGTGGGTGCAGATTTAACTGCAAAGGCTTGCAAGGGAATCCCTCTTTCTGTCTGTCTTACTTTTCCACAGCTGGGCCATGGTATCACCTTTCAGTACCAGAAATAAGCCCAGCTAGGTGAAAGCAAAGTGTTCTGGGAGGGAGTCTGTAGGAGTTAAGCCCCAAATAGGGGGAAACCTCTGCACTACTCCTCATTTGTTGCCAAAATTGAACATCACTGTTTAGTTACATTAGTACAGCAAATATGAATTTGAACTAACGGGTCAGGTAGATGAACTCGGTGGCCCTCAGGATCCCTTCCAACTCTGTAGTTTCTGATTCTGTACTCTTGCATCTAGTTTGATCCTGAGTTTTGTGGCTCTTACTTTCAGGTCACTGTGCATAGGGCTGTTGCCTTTGAACCAGATGCAATACATATTTACTCAGAAGTAACCAGTTGGGCTTCTTTCTGGCTAATTGTGCAGAAGATTGTAGCCTTTGGTGCTAAGGTATCCTTTGGTGGTGTTTCTACTTGATAGTGAGAAGCAGTGTGCTGAAGCAACACTCTTGGATTCCTGATTTGTTTTATAAGAGGCTAGAATTATGGTAGCTATGGAGTCTTCATTGGAAGACTTCCGAAAGAAGGTAAGTTTTTGCCTGCAGCCAGGAAGATCACAGCATGGAATATGCAGAGAAAAGGAGGATGGGATGAAGGAAAAACTAGACACAAGGATGAGGCTAAAGTCATTGTAAAAGGCAACTGGGGGCCAACGTAGAGGCAGAGAAGGGCGATGTGTTGAGAAGAGAGATTATTTTAGCAGGAATATTCTGAGTTGACTGAAGAGGTGAGAGAGAACAGGAAGGAAGGCCAGAGTGGCAGTGGTCCAAGGAAAAAATAACTAGGGCATGAACAGTTTAGCAGAAGATGCAGATTTGGCCAATTTTGATGAAAAATCACTGGTTGGAGTTGGCAGTAAAAACAGAGAGGGGAATGAAGAGCCAGCAGTGGGCCTAGTTAGTTTTATGCTTAGAAGGCAAAAGAGAGAGACTTAGCTATATCTAATCAACAGGAGGCTTGGGTGTCTGCAGAAATAATTCGTGGGGACGGGCAGAGAGCTCCATGACTTTAAAGTACAGGTATTTGACTTACCTGTGAACTCCACACACTATTACATGGTGCTGAAGAGCAGCAACAAGAAACAATAGTGATTTACTATAGTGTATGGGATTATATATTTCTGAACTAAGTTCTAACAAATTGCTCTATTTGTCCATTGAACAACAATACTTTAAGACTCTGAAAAACAAATTAAAAACCCCTAAGGCTGAATTTTTCACCTTTTACACAGAATCTCCCTTGGCTGTGGTGAGTGCCAGATAAAAGATCTGAAAGTAGCCAGGCTGTTGCTGCTGCTGCTGCTGCTGCTGCTAATTCCTGTCCACACGTAACATAAAGAAAAATATACTACAAAGCGGATCGCCATTGAAACAAAAATGGAAGACTCTGAGGCTCTTGGCCAAAGCAGTCAATAACTGCTTCTATAAATTTCTCCTTGGGACGGGTCCTCAGCATTGCTCTCTGGATGTTCAACAAACAAGCCAGACAATTGCTTTTCATGCATTGTTGAATTTAGCCATGCCTGTGCGAAGTGCTGAAGGATTGTTCAGTTCAGCATGTTGTAACTGGGAGGGAAAGTGCTGTCAGGAGAGCCATTTTAATAGCAGGGAACCGTCTGGTGTGGTCCAGCAGTTCAGCAAGGTTCTCGGTAAAGTAATAAGTAAATCCAGGTAGGAAATGTAGACGGACCGCCAATAGTTCTCTTCTGTGGATTGGTTGGGATGATTGGCATGGTTTTGACTGTGAGTCCTGGAAGACCTGTACCCTGCCTTTTAGGCCTTTTTCCAGCTGGCCTGGGAGGGTGGGGGCCAGACTGACTCCAGCTACAACAGCTGAGACTGCTGAACAGAATCTTGAACTGGGGTATTGTTTAGGGGGGCTGTTAACAGCATCTTTGTACAGTGGTACCTCAGGTTACATACGCTTCACGTTACAGACTCCACTAACCCAGAAATAGTACCTCGGGTTAAGAACTTTGCTTCAGGATGACAACAGAAATCGTGCTCCAGCGGCACAGTGGCAGCGGGAGGCCCCATTAGCTAAAGTGGTGCTTCAGGTTAAGAGCAGTTTCAGGTTAAGAACGGACTTCTGGAACGAATTAAGTACTTAACCCGAGGTACCACTGTATTTTGGATCTTACGATTTATGTGGCAATTTTCCAGTTTGTGTACTTTTTAATATTGTTTATCGCTACTTTTGCTTTGTTTGTGGTTATGTAATTTTTTATATGCTGTAAGCCGTCTTGAGCATTGTTTTAACTTTGGAAAGGTGGCATGCAAATAAAATGATTGGTTGAGTTTTCTGTTACATGGTTTGTCTAGCTGCTTTAAATTTGAAATCCATTTCACCTTCCAGTTTCTTGCACTTTTCTACTACTACTATTGTACTCATTAGGTTTCCTGTGTTGTAATGTTATTCCTAGCAACTCTTGTATATATGCTCTTTCATTTTCATTGCATCTAACTTCACAAACTGCAGAACTTGTTCGACTGGTTCTAGCATCAAATAATATTTTCACAAGTCAAAATTATTATTATTTATTAAATTTGTATACCACCCTTCAACTGAATATCACTAGGCATTGGGTTGGCTAGAGTTCTTTGAGACTGTCAACAAGCATATAGATGGTGCAGTTCACAAAGGGTACTCAAAACTTTCAAAAAGCTTTTGACCAGGTACTTCACCAAAGACTCCTGAGAAAGCTTAGCAGTCATGGGATAAGAGGAGATGTTCTCTTGTCGATCAGAACTGTTAAGGTGGCCAAGGTGGCTGAAGATACTAAATAGTTCAGCATCATTAAAACAAAAAGGGATTGTGAAGAGTGGCAAATGATATCTCCAAACTGAGTGAATGGGCAGTAAAATGGCAAATGCAATTCAAACATCACAGCCTTTTATGGGGGCTTTAAACTGTAAAAGTGCTACTCCGAATTTTGGAAGTGGATGGTGCAGCTGTTGTAGGATTGGATTGGGCTAGGTTTCCCTAGGGAATGAGAACTGGAAATGAACGTAGTTCAGTTCCACAGAAATATACACTTATATAAATTTATTCAGTAATCACACAATATTGGATGGCTTGATCAAAGCATGTAGATGTCAATGGGGAAAGATTCTTTTTGAGTTACATTGACTTAGTTCAGATGTACTGGAAAACCTTGTTCTCCTGAGAGCCTTGGTGAGCCTCAGTGTGCTGTGTTTTTCATGTGCCAGGAGAAGAGATTGGAAGCCTACCCTTCTAATTTGTGGTAAATCATAGTTTGCCCTTTCTATCAAATCTGGCAAACAGTGGCTTGTTGTATACTAGAAGCTAACACTTCTAATTCCTTCTCCTTGTGTGCAAGTGTGCAAGCTTGAGGGTTGCACTTGCCTGCTCTTATAACAATATAACAACTCTGGAATGTTGTTATATATGAATTACGCCATGGTGTCCCTTGTATCTCAGAGTGGGGTGCTCAAGGAACAAAAGTGATTGCAATACGTATGAAAGGGATTTTTTCTCTAGGATCTCGACAGTGACTTGTGAAAGATGACAATTCCAACTGAATTTTGTGACGAGAGAGAGAGATGCTTGCCTCCCCCAATTTTTCAGACATATGCCAGCAAATATTGCGGCAAATTAGTATGTAGAATAATGATTCTCAACATACATTGATGTTTTCAGATGTTCAGGGATTGGGGTTTTTTCTGGGACTGTCAACTTATACATGTCAGGCTAATAGTGTACTTTATTAATTATTAAGTTTCTATCCCACCTTTCCTCCAAGAAACTCAAGATGACAGACATGGTTCTCCCTCCACTGCATTTAATTTTCATAGTACTGTGAGGGAGGTTAGGCTAAGAGATGGTTGATTGCATTTTGTGGCTGGCCCTCCAAGGGCAGGGTGAAGTGAGGTAACCACCTCAGGCATCATGATCCACAGGGGCAGCAGATCCCAATGTAGATCTTTATTCCATTCTTGTTCCTGATGTAGATCACCCTTTCTTCCCTTGTGGGGAGGAGGGGGTGCAATTTTGTGTTTCACCTCAAGTGCCGAAATGTCTTGTGCCGTCCTGATTTAATGACTATGTCACAGTGGCTGATTATGAAAACCAGCTGGTAGTGAAATGTAGATCCAATTAAAGGTGTGCAGTAGAAGGATCCTTAAACATGACTATCAAATAATAAAACAAATGTCCGTGCCTTGACCTTCCAAGGATAAGCTCACACAATACTTTCCTACTACTGTTTTGCATCTAGGCCCCATTAGACAATTTCTGCAACTTGAAATAGAAAGTATTGTATGATCACCAATTTTTTCCCAGAGCAAATAACAATGACAATGGCAGTGTTATTTGAGATGTGTTTCATATACTTTGTGTTATTGTCTTGAGCATATTCTGATATCTTAGTTACTCGTTCATGGGCACATATTGTCTAATATGCTATTATTCATCTGTGCTAAGGATTATTTCTCTCTCTCTTTCATTGGAGCTCTCACTTTGATCTCTCCTGCAGGCCCATACGCACACACATGCACTCAGTTACTGAGAACAGCAGAACAGATGCAGGCCTAAAAGAGTGCTTATTTATTAAAGTTCCCTAGTCTTCTTCCACCTTACTTATACAACCTGCCTGACAGGTACTCATGATTCATTTAGTGTGTTCATCGTTACAAAAAACATTCCTCCTCCTTGTTATTTATTATATAAAAATACAATCTCAGCCTGAAGATAATTGCTATCGAACAAATGTACTTTTTTCTGTTTTGGATAAGAAAATTTGGTAACTACTTGTTCAGATAAATGCCCCCCACGGAATTAGATTTGTGAACATGACAACAAAACAGCAAAAGTTTGGTACAACCTTTAGTGCTATCAGTACAAAAGTAGAGGGGGAGAGGAATACCATGAAATCAACAAGGAATAACTGGCAAACCTGACTTTTTGAGAAACAACAACTTGGAAGCAGTCTCAGATATGATCAGAACGTATCTCTTCATAGCACTCTGAAGCTGTTAAGATATTGTCAATTCAATTTGAAATCTATACACTAGTTTGTACCTCAGTAGAATCAGGTGGTTTTTCGCTCGGACAAAACTAGTGTCTACCGTACTGCTAGAGATCTAAATCGAAGGCAGAACTGGCAAAGGCAGCAGGACAGATTCTCCCCCTCTCCATAATATTTAACAGAAGTTTTCATTAGCATTATTCATTCAACTGCTGTGTGATTTGCTGCTTTCTATTGCATAACCTCGGAACATTATGTTACGTTCGGTCAGAGGCCTGCAAAACCTAATGAGCAAGCCTCGATTCCCGGATTAGTTGTTTGGCCACATGCCACATACCCTGATATTGCCACAGAGAAGGAAACGGGAGGCATTCAGAGCGAAGACCTTGAAGCCAAGGTTCATGCTTGGTTAACAGTAGATCAGCACCCACTTAGATGACTAAAGCCACTTCTGAGGTGGTGGTTAGTATCCGAGGAGCAGTTGGGGGGGGGGAGTGCCTTACCTTTTCCCTGCACATGGCTGCTCTTCTCCAATGTCCAGTATAGAGTTGTTGTTGTGTGGGTTTGTTTTTTTTTAAACCCACATTTCCCAACTTTTAATATTCCATTGGGAGAAAAAGCACTTGGGAAGGCAATCTGGAGTGGTTTGGGAGAGGGCATTCTCTGTGACAGTCCCTAGGGTGTGTAGTTCCCTCCTCACAGAGGTGTGTATGATGATTTCCTTGCATAGCTTTCATTGTTTGCTGAAGACTGGCCTCTTTACCCTGGCCTTTGACACCCGATACCCTTTTAAGGCCTGTGCTCATGTAAATTGTCTTAACTGACTTTAATACTGTATTTTTATATTGTTGTAACCTGTCCTGGGACCTTATGATGAAGGGCAGGTAAGGAAAGCAAGAGAGAAGGAAGGAAGAGAGAAGGGCAGGAGTGGGAAAATGGAGAGGGGTGGTGGTGAAACGGATGGATCAAAGCAGGAGGAAATAAAAGTCATCTGCAAGTGATCAGTTGAGACCTGGCAAGAGCATTCTGTCCCATTCCCAGCAACCTTCTTGGGACAGGGCAAGGGGAAGAGAAGGAGAATGGGGTGCACTCCACCCACTTTTGACTCTGGAACCACCACACTTACTTTAGCCCCCTGCCCCAGCAGATGACACCCGAGACAGGAAAGAGGTTCCACACCACTGAGATGAAGGGTTGGGGTGGGGATTCTCAGATTAAAAACAGGCATTAAACAGCAAGCAGTCCTATCATATTACTTCTTCAACATCAGCACAGAAGTTAGCTAATTTGTTTTCAGTGTCAATTCCACCATGCTTCTTGCACATGAAAGAAGCTAAACTAAACTTTGAATATGAATTTTTATAGTGGGGTTTCACCCAGACTGTTTCTTTTCAGCAATTACGTTTGGTAAGGTCCTTTGCCTGGGAGGTGAAATGTGTTATATTTTTAGAAATAAATATGTGATGTCTACAAAACAACGATGCATCACCATTTCCAAGAAACTTGCATAAGATTTCCTTACTATTTAAGGAATCTAGAACATTGTTTTGCTTTCAAGGAACTGAAGCTGCCTTGGTTCTAAAATAACTTACCATCATCCCCCCCCCCCCACCACAGGGGGATATATCTGAGGAAGACTGTGGAAACAATATGTGGAATTACAAATCTGCATGGATATGGCAGGAAATCAATGAAGGCTGGAAATAGATCCCTGCACATTCAGTTTTGTGGATTTTCCCTGCATCACCTATGTAAATTTTGGAACTTTCCCCCCCCACAGTGTAAGATGTCTGCTAAATCTTACTGATTACAGTTTTTGGCAACTGTTAACTTTAGTGGAATAATGTAGTGAGTGTGCAATATTGCCAGCAAGTTTTTTTTTATATGTCAGGCAAATTACCCTCATTTCCCCCCCACCATGAGAAAGTTAAACACCTGCTTGCTGAAAGTTAACAAATGGGGGTAGTCATTCATTATTGCCTGGGGTAAGGGGCAGTATGTGGGTTTTACTAAGGGGACCCTTTTCATATAACTCTGCAACTTAGTATGAAACAAGTGCATACATTTTTAGACTGTGAGTAGACTTAAGTTATTCATGAATGAAACAGCCTGATTCAGGTCATGAGAGGCCAACTGTATGCATTCCAGATGTAGCTGGCTTCAGAGGGACCATTTTTGTGCATGAAATGAATGTGCATGTTTAAATCTTCACACAACTAAGCTGCTATTACAGCCACTCCAACTTAAGTATGACACTGGAGAATGTTGTGAATGGAAGATATAATAAACTGTGGTGACAAGATAAAAATATTCTGCAGTACTAACACTACATGGTAATTTCAAGAATCTTTCTTCTTGCATGTCTGAAGAACTGAACAAATACAAATGCAATATGTTGTTAGAGCTGTGGAGGTAGGTACCATATTTGTGATGGGATGCAACATCATTTCAGCCTGAAGAAGTGATAACCTTGAGTGAGGCCCTGTTCCATGACCACTCAACAATTTTCTCTATTACAAATCCATTTTTGTCCAAGAACAGTGACTTTGAAAGAGCCTGCTCCTTTTCATTAATGCCTTGGCACATCACACCTTCCTTGAAGGCTGAGAAGCAGTTTGACTTGCTTCAGATCCCTTTTCTTTCTTTTTTAAACAGTACCAAGGTGTCTCTTGCACCACTAATGGTGCTCTCATTCCTCTCTGGACAGACGGGCTCTCTGTGTCTAGAATCTGCAAGGAATAATTACATTTGGGGGAAATGTCCTCTGTCCTGATTTTGAAGGAGTGTGATAACATGCTTTATTATTACTGTCTATGGGCACAGTTCATAGCAATGCACTCTCTCGTGATGGGTAATATGGTGACAGTGGGAATGATGGAGTAATGCCACCTGCTTTACCATAAAGAATTGCCTACTTATTAGAATCAAGAAGAGGCCCATAACTTTAAACAAATTATTTGAACTGACTAGAAATAATTAAATACATGCTTGAGAAGGGGGTGTGGTGTTTTGGGTTTGAAGGAAGCCGGTGGAGATTGGTAAAATATTTGGTTTGTTTGTCCATTAGTATGAGAGTTCACCTTGCACGGAAGAACTTTTTAAAAAATGAGTTATTTATATAACAGCTTGTAATTTAATAAGCTCATTATTCATTAGCAGCTCTGTGATGTAGGCATTTCTTCTACATAGCTAATCAAGAATTGAGGTTGCAATGTGAAAAAATCTGAATACAATTTGCAGTTCTTTTAAAGCAATAATTATATATTAGAGCTGCTACATTTTGTTTCTTAGTTGGTGCTAAAAAAAATCCCTTTGTTGTAGGAATTTTGATCAGAATTTTTAAAAAATGGTATTTTGGAATGTAGCTAGCTCACTGTATGATAATTCGGATATACTTCATTGTACTAAATTCCATTTTCACTTCAAACGAAGGGTCAAAAAGTCAGTGGAAATGTTCAAGGACTCTAGAGTAAGGATATCTCACCCTACAGTTAGAGCCAATAAATGGTTCAGTTAATCTTTTCGCCTCTTTTTCTGAACTACTTAGAAACAAATTGATTCTTGGCGGATAGGAGGGCACAAGTAGCGCTTCAGGAAGAACATAGTGCTTCTCTTTTTGTAGAGTATACTGGCAGTGAATGGGTTTTCTTGCTTGTTCTGCAGGGAGACCGCATTTTGATTTAAAGTTATGAGTCACAGTATCTGAGGCTTGGAGGCGAACACACTATCTGTAAACAGCAGCCAAAGGGCACACACTTCTGCTTTTGCAATTGGCAAAGTCTCCTCCTTACTGCTTTAAAAAGGAAGAGGGGAAAAAAAATATCACCATGCCTCTTTTTATGTGTCTTTTCATAAGAAAAGTTTTTGGTGGATCCTTAATGGTTAAGTTCCCTGAAATCAAATACTATGTTGCTGTCTTAAAAATAACTGTTTCTAAGACACCAAGTCCCATATGAGCAGGCTAAAACAGACTGGGTTTTCTGTCTGTTCTGTACATTTTGCAGCTTCAGTAGTGCAGTTAGGACAGTTTGATCATATCACCATGTATATTGTCTCAAAAGAGCTTAAAAACAACAACCCAACAACACCATTTACTGTAGGTCAGTGATCACTTACATTGTACACATCTAAAGAAAAATGAAATTGTAATGGTGTACTCCTTTTTTGTGGATTGAAACTGGGTTCAAAACAACCGCCACCTTTTATTCCAAAGCAAGGCATCCTGCATTAATAAAAGATTTTGTTTGTTTTTAAGAAGTACTTTTGGATTCTTCTGCTGTTGCTTTCTGTTTTCCCCATGAAATTTCACCTAATTGGCACAGCAGTAACAAACGGGTTACTGCTTTCCTGCATTGTTCTTTACAGTTATCTCACTGCAGAACACATTACAGCTGTTTCCTAGGTTGCTCACAACTCTAGTTGTTGATTTTTGTGTTTTCTTTACATATTCTCAAAAGATGTGTGGACAAGTTAACTCTGGAGATGGTTGAGCAGTGGCTTCCAGAAGTGCTATTTTTACAATGCCAGCTATAACTAATGACCCTTGTTTTCCTTATTTACTCTTTCCTCTACCATGTGACTAAGCTCTGTGTTCTGACATCAGAAGTTAGTGTTACTGCTGCCAGAATTCCTTCTCCAGTTGTTCCTTTCCAGCTGACCTTTAGACAGTAAACGAGAGTGCAGAATCATGAACATATGTGCCCTTCCCTAACCAAACGTAAAGCCTATCTGATCTGTTTGGCTGTTTGCTCTAATACAGTTCTTGCAGAGAAATATTATGAGCTAGCAATTTGAAATGTAGGCATGTGGAATGAGCAATATACAGTACAGTGGTACCTCGGGTTACATACGCTTCAGGTTACAGACTCCGCTAACCCAGAAATAGTACCTCGGGTTAAGAACTTTGCTTCAGGATGAGAACAGAAATTGTGTGGTGGTGGCACAGCAGCAGCAGCAGGAGGCCCCATTAGCTAAAGTGGTACCTCAGGTTAAGAACAGTTTCAGGTTAAGAACGGACCTCCGGAACGAATTAAGTACGTAACCAGAGGTACCACTGTATAAGCTAATTGACAAAAGGCACATTAAACCTGGCTTACGGTCACCACAATGGAATGTCTAGGTGCCTTTTTTGCAGTGGGGCTTATTATTATTTTTATTCATTTCTTTTCTATATTGCTTTATATTATAAAGAAAAAAATCTCAAAGTGGTTTACAGCACATTAACACATTAAAATCCAGGATAAAACAAATTGAAACTTCAAGGAAAATATTTCAGATCCTTCTCCAAGTGACATTTTGCTTTCCCCATATTTATTTACTTCCTTAATTTATAGAGTTGCCCCATAGCAGAAGTACTCTAGGAAGCCAATGTGGTGTAGCAGTTAGGATATGGGACTAGGACCTGGGAGATCCAGGTCTGATTCCCCACTCAGTCATGAAGCTCACTAGGTGACCTTGAGCCACTCTTAACCTACCCCACAAGAGTTGTTGTGGGGATTAACTGAGAAAAAGGCAGGCCAGCCAGATGGAAATGTCAGTCGCCAAACTAGCATCCAGAGGTCTCCACGTGGTTGCAATTGGACCCACGCGAGTAATAAAATGCATCTGGTACCCGACTAATTTCTAACACTGGCTCAGATATGTTGGTATAACTCTCATATGTTGGACAGGGACTATTTACAGTGAGGATAATTGTTTAATACAGTGTTTCTCAAACTTGGGTCTCCGGCCGTTGTTGGACTACAACTCCCATTATCCCTGACCACTGGTCCTGAGTTCAAGTGTTAAGTGAGAGGGAGAGAAACTGACACCTGTCCACTTTCTCCACACCAGGCATAATCTAGACCCCTCTCTCATGTCTCCCCCTCACTCACCTCATCACATGCAAATGAATATGAATAGAGCAAGTATATTGCATGCTTTGTTAGTGAGTTATTGGTGACAGGCTAGCCCATCTCCTGAAGTGAATAACTTAAATTAGAACTGTTTCATTTCCATCCCTGTAATTTCAGTGTTATAAACAAGATGAATAATGAAAACTAAGGTGTGTTTCACAGATTATGTTTTTTTATAGGTATTCGCAATGTACACAAGAAAATTATGTTTAATTTGCAGTAGCTTAACGAGGCTAGCATTCTACTTTTAAAAACATTTTGGAAGATCAAATTATTACAAATACTGTATTTCCCAGTGGATGAATTTACCTTTGTTCTTTGGCTAACTAGTTTATGAATAGGGCTTTGCTTGCTTTCTTCACCTGTTGCTTATCTGTGATACTTGTAATTAAGAGCTGGTCTGCCACACAGGAAAACTCTCTTGTACAGCCCTTGTAAGACTTGATGAATTTGTGCTACATGTTTGAATACCCTCCCTAATAAACACACACAAAACCACAAAACTTCTCTGTGCAAAGAAAGTAGCACTTTGGAGAAGACTTCTGTTTGGCCTCCACTGACCTGCATTCCACTTACCAGAAGCTGGAGTATGTTTTTTTAACATGGCAATATATTCAGTCCTTCCTCTGCATTCTGAAAACTACACTCATTGGAAAGCCATGCCTCCTGGTTTTTCTAAATGTGTGGATTGGACTACATTCCATTGAAATTTATTTATTTAGAGCATTTGCACCCCTATCTTCAGCCATAAAAGCTCCCAGAGTGGCTAACATACAGTCACTTTAAACAAGGCAGTCCCCGCCTTCAGGATTACAATCTAAAACAAAAAACACAGTACATAATGGGAAAGGGACAGAGAGGGGAACCAAATTGCTTTTGGGTTACCTCAAAATTAAAACATGCACATATATTCCTTGATTTTGCATAATTTATCATGCTCTTGCTAGCCATGAGTTGAAACAAGCTACACGGAGCATCAAGCCCAATTCTTTGCTCAGCATGTTTTTGGATATCTCAGATTTTAGGAAGAACAAGGTACAGTGATACTTCGGGTTACAAACACTTCCGGTTACAGACTTCACTAACCCGGAAGTAGTACCTCAGGTTAAGAACTTTACCTCAGGATGAGAACAGAAATTGTGTGGCGGTGGCACGGCGGCAGCGGGAGGCCCCATTTTTAAGAACAGACCTCTGGAACGAATTAAGTATGTAACCAGAGGTACCACTGTATATGTTTTGAGCAATGGCCTCAGCAGTATGGAAACAAGGCAAGACAACGTTTCAGTGTCACCCTGGACAGCTCCATGTAGGGCTTAGGCTGGAGACCCCAATGACATCCAGTAATGTTTGTCTTCTTACACAATGGAAATAAATTTGTGCATTGAGTCTTCTGGTTTCCCTTCTGTTAACCAACCCCCAATCCATCTTCCTGCATGCCTCCAGAGTCTGCTACAGGGAGTCCTCCAAGACTGAAGGATGAGAGGACACAGAAACTTTGTTAGATCTCACCCCAGAAGAGTGAACCTGGGATGTTGTTTCAGCAGCAGCCATCATCAGACTACCTTGAATAGGAGCTGCAGCTCTGTCTCAGTAGCTAGCTCTGTTTTCTGTGAGAGGAGCTCTTAATTTAAAGGAGTCCAGTCTATGTTAGCAGTTGTTGACTGACTCCAATGAAGCCAAAGAGACTGTGATTCTATAGGGTTTCTGTGCTGTAGTCTTCAAGGTCAGAGAAGGGCAACACAACCAGAAAGGCCAGAGAGGCTCTGACACAATGGGCTGCCCTTGCATCAGAGTCTGTGGTTCAGTTGCCCTGAGGAGAATTCCATCTCCCACTCTGAATCCCCAATCTTTTCCTCTAAAGATCATAGACTCATGACACCAGGTGAGGCAAGAACAGCAAGACACACATCTTTTGAAGAAGCATGCTGATATAACCACGTGGAATGGGGCTTCACAATGGGGAGAACTGAGATGGGGAGAACTGTACCAGCAACTAAAAAATGTATATATGGGCCCACATTGAGTTTACTTGCACAGAAGAGTGTTTAGACCTGAGATGTTAAACTCTGTCCTTTTTTTTTATGAATCAGAGGGTTCTAGGCACATCTAGACTCATTAGCTCAGGCTACACACAGGTGATATGCTTGCAGTGTTTTATGTTCTGTCTCAAACTGTACTATGTAAGAAGGGCTCCTGATTACCCAGGGCAGGGTGGTCCAACTTTTCATCTCAAGTGGGCTGCAATAGTACATCAACATGGAACCTGTGGGTCACACACTACCATGTCATGCGGGGGGAGTGAGGCCAAAAATGTGGTGCTTCCTTCAGCCGTCTTGCTGCCTTCCCAAAGCTGAATGAGTGAGTCACTGGGCTTTGGGAAGGAGGTGCTAGGCTGTTGTATAGTCCTAGAGACCTCATATCTTCTTCCCAAAGCTGGACAAGTGCTAACTAGGCTTTGGGAAGGAGCCTCTACGACCCTGTCAGAGCCCTCATGCCTCCTTTCCAAAGCCCATCACCTTGCTTACTTGGCTTTAGGAAGGCAGCACGAGGGCGGTGGGGTGGCAGTGGCAGCGGTGAAATCAAATGTTGCTGAGGGCCACCAAAAATGGCCTTAGGGCCGCATATGGTCCTTGGACTGTGTGTTGGGCCGCCCTGATCTAGGGTGTCTCTTACCCAAGTAAGCCCTGTGGGTTAACGGCTTGATCATGCAAACCTCCATTAGAATGGTTTCCAGAGCCACAGTTCAGTTCATCTCACGTCACACGGGTACATTATCTGCAAGCCTGGCATATCATTTTGCATGAGCAAGTCCTTGCCATAAATCTTCTTCCATAGTTCATCAGAATGTGATGTCCTTGTCAAATTCTCATTTAGCTCATTTTGTCTGCCTACCCACCACTTTC